AAAATTGAAAGTGAATTTTTAAAATCTGTTCTTTTGTGTAAAATATCCAATTAAAATTTCACAGTATTTTAAGGTGGGTATTGAAATTTAAAGCTTGAATAGCTGGAAAATAGCACATCTGGGATAAGGCTCCCACATATGTGTCTCCAAGGAGCTCTGCTCCACCTCTGCTGCTTCTCTTTGCCCTTTGGCATAGGGCCTGCATTTCATCAGGGTCTGGACATGTTAGGGGAGCTTACCTGAGTGGTTAAGTAAGTGCAGATTTCTACTCTTTACAGAGTAAAATCTCCTCTATGCCCTGAGTTCTCAAAATTTACTTTTTTGGCAATGAAAAAAAGAAATTACAAAGTTTAAATGCCAGATAAGTTGTAGATTAGTTTTGTTTAGTGTAATTTTATGATTTGTCAGTGATTCCTTAAATGTCAATATTACAAAATAGTGTCTTTAAGATATACCTACATGGCAACAAGAAGCATTTTTTTTTTGCAGTACTTGGGGTGACTCAGGGTCTACACCTTGAGTCAATCCACCAGCCTTTTTTTGTGATGGGTTTTTTCAAGATAGAATCTCGAGAACTATTTGCTTGAGCTGGCTTCAAACTGTGATCCTCCTGATCTCTGCCCCCTGAGTAGCTAGGATTACAAGTATGAGCTACTGGCGCCGGGTACAATGAGGCATTTTTGTGGGTCTTGTTTTCCTAAGTGGAAATATTTCCATTCTGTCTTCATATGCATTTATAGGGTCAAAAAGTAAAGTCAAAATGGACTCTACATTTTCATTGATAGACTTCTAATTCATTCAAAATAGAAGTTGAAATTATTGTCAGCACAAAGATGTCAATTGCCAGCAAAGTGCCTTCCATGATTTTCAAGGTTACATAATACAATAAAGAAAAGAGAGTCAATATTTGCTACACACACACACACACACACACACACACACACACACACCACATTTTGTAAAACTCCACAGTGATCTGTTTGTGGAGCTACTACACAATCATTTATCAAGTTTCTAGTTCAACATTTTCTTTATTCTGTAAGACTATACTTAAAATTAAATCATTTAAAATAGTTACCAATTTAAAGATCATCATAGACCAAACAGTTCAGTAATTTGAGATTTGTTTGACTGTAAGAATATGGCTTTAAAACAGTTTACTAAAGACCCCAGGGCACTATCCCCTTGGCTCTGAGGGCCTCCAGCACCACTGGCTGAGCACTGACCACACAAACAGTGCTACTTGGTTGATGTTGTTGCAAGGAAAATAACTAGTTTGATTTCCATCCATTAGCCTCCACCAACCAGCTGATTTTCTATGAGGTTAACACAATTGTACATATCTGTTGCTTCCATTGTAGGCATTTGAAATGGGATTCCTCAGTTGCTTTCTTTTTTTGGCACTTTACCTAATATGCATTTTAACATACTGGTAAACTCCATTTATTCTTGTTTCTCAAAAAGATTAGAACCCACAACTTTGATTCAACAAAAGCAAAAAGAAAAGCATATAAATAGTTGTTTAAATTGCGTATTCGAATACCTGATGTGTATTTAGAGAGTGTACTGATGAGTATATAGGAATGTATTTTAACCAAGCATTGTGTTTTACATGATGCTAGGGGTTTGTAATCAAGGGAAATATACTGTAACTGTTTTCCATGAATTAATTGTGGTTTGATAAATATCAGTGAGCTTCAATTTGAACTTCCCTAGTGGATAAGTCTATTATTTAAGTAAAACTTAGTCATTAAATTTATGTGTGGACTGGATGCTAATAAAAACCTTTTTAAGTTTGAAATTGTTTTTAAATATAGGAAAGTTGAAAGAGTAGTGCAAATAATGTAACTTTAACTAGATCCATGATTATTAACATTTTACTTACTACATGAATTTTATCATCTTTCTGTACATGTAACTTTGTGTCTATGTATCTATATAATTTGTTTTGTCTAATCATTTGAAAACAAGTGATGACACTATGACATTTAAACAACCATTATTCAAACATTGATCCCTGAATACTCAACATTCATCTCCTATATATAAGAATATTCTCCCATATTACCACAACCCCATTGCTAACCCAAGACCATTAACAATAACACAACAATATCTAATATTGGATCTGTTTTTTTTTTAACAGATAGGGTTTGACACCTTTGGAAAATAAGTAATGATTCTTTGTTCTTTAAGATAGTGTTTCAGCTCTAAAAACACTTATAGCATAATTCTTTTAGCAAAGTGTTTTAGGTAGCCTCACCATGTAGCCCACAATCTTAGGGCAAATATGACAGCTGTAGGAGACTCTGAATGTGAGGTAGTATGCTTTGCCATTTGATACTCTTCCTAACAAGCTGAAACTGGGGACTCTAAAGATAATCTTATTTTTAAATCTGGTTTATAAGTAGCCCTCACACATGTAAAGAAATAACATTCAAATCTTTGTTAATTGTACAATAAATCATTGTAATTTGTATGTAAATCTAGACTAATTTTGATGTATTCTAATTTATGTGTAATATTTATTTCCAGAGTTTTAAAAATAAATCTTTATAAAACAAAACAAAGCAAACACCTACCTTAATCAACCCCAGAGTATATGGGGTATGTAATTGGGCAAAAAGGCAGACTTAGAGAAAATTTAGGACACATTTAGAAAATGGGTTCAATTTATCTTTGGAGCCTCTCACTTTATTATTTTCCCTCTGATGCCAATCATCTCTCACACATTTAGGGATTTCAAGCTAATAGTGTTTAAAAGCCTATGTTTTGGTCATATAGTTTGGCTTGTCTTCCAACAGCAGCCTCTCTGTTTCTTTTTCTTTCTTCTCATGTTTTCTATTATCACAAAGAACCTCCTGTAGGCTAGTTATTATGCACAGTGATCTTTGATTTGTCACCCCCATATACCAGTGTTTACCTCTAAAAATAAGTTTTTCACATAAGGTTCTCATAGTTGTTTATTTTAAAATTTGAACTATAGACTGATAAATTCAGTAACAGTGATAATTAAAGCATCATCCACACACAGTCTAAATGGAAGCTTTCATTTATTTTAAAAATTTTTGTCTGCGAATCTCTAAGTATATCAAGGAAGAGATATGCAGAATCATGTGACTACTGTTAACTTTCACTGCAATGGCCATCTCCGTGCAGGGTTTTGCTTTGATCTAAGGTTAGGATTCTCCTGTGTCAATAATAGCTCAATTTTATTTTCTTCTATCCATGTTTCTCTTCTCTTATCAACAGTAAATCTGATGTGCGATACTAGAATTCTTCTTCAGTTTGAATCCCCAGTGATTGATACAGGCATCACTTTTTTGTTTGTTTTTTGTTTTGGGACATAATAAATGTTATCTCTGGCTATTTGAATTGCATCAATGAAACTTAGTTTTTAAAAGAAAAATTAACTTGGGTTTCTCTCTATAGTTCATAGGATCTCTGGAGCTAGTCTGTTGGATTATGCTTGGAAGGAGCCAAAAGAAGGGCATTTTTGGCAAGTGTTGCCTCTCGAGTCACACAGCACTGGTTTGATTCCTGGCCCTATGAACCTTTGCCTGGGTTCTCTTCCACATTGCTTTGCTCTGTGGGTGATGGGACAATCTTAACATGAGCACTGGGAGCACCCATGTCTAAGAGTGAAAGAGAAAAAATTCAAGCAATTATCTCCTCTATCCTGTTCCCCAAATAATGAAATAAATACCCAGGTATTGTCTATGACTGATAATTTTACATAGTTAATGTTCAATATCATAATACTAAATTTTAACATGACTTACCCTTTAAACCATTTTTCTCAATGTTGGTTATACAAGCTAAGAAGTTTTATAACTAAGTGGATTAGAAAGCAGTTTAGTAACCTAGTGTATACTAACTGAGAATTTAGGTAATGGGTTTTGTTCCTCACCAGGATAGGGTGACTCCGTTCAATTAGTCAACAATAGAAGGATCTGTCAGTCTTCATGGATGAAGTAGCTGAACTAGTATTAAATTAGAACAGAAAGAAGGCATGATATTGAACACAGTTATCTTGAGACTTAGGTGAAATTTAGAGTATCAGGTTAGTATGAGAAAATACACACACTTATAAACTGTAAGAAGATAGTTCAGGTAACCATGAACCTTGTATAATGACTTACATGAAAGTGGTGACTGCATATAGTACTGAATATGTGGAACTTAGGATGGGAATGTTTCTGATCAGATGTTGTTCTTATGACCCACTGTAGGCATATATTTGCCCATAAAAGTCCATGTAGTGTCCCTGGATATCAAAGTTCATTATTATTACATATATATATTTTTTAATTAAATGTAATATGTTGCCAATAAATAAAATGTGTATATTTAGAACAAGAAAAATCCATAACAATTTAATTCCACAATCTCCAATTCCCTTATGTCTCATAGTTTTCTTGTCTCCTACTGAATTCTTGTGCTTCATTGTGGTCACTATTCCTATGACTGTATGCTTAACATTATTACTCTCCATGCTTTTATTATTTCCTATGGACATCTGGGTATGCTCACACACATGCACAACCAATGACCTCACTTAAATTTATTGAAAAGTGGGAGCAATGAAATAGGAAGTCTCTTACCTTCTATCTGGTCCAACACTTGGCTTTCTTTTCAATGTAAGGTTAGATAGTGTCCCTGCTCCTACCTAAACCTTCTTTATTTAGATTCAGTTCTTTCTCTATTTTCATAGTAATTCATTCTTCTCTCCCATTAGAAACTGTCCTCAAATGAATTATTCTCAACCGCATAAAAATTCTCTAGCTAAAAATATAAGATTAAATAGTTAATTTAGAGAGTATTAATGATATGCTGATGACCAGGAAGTTATCATTTAAGTGACTGAACATGGATTTGGGCTTAGTAATGAGAAGACCTTTATGGAGAAAAAGATCTATCTAGGTCTGGGATAACTAAGGGGCATTAAAGGTCTTTTGATGGATCTTGTTTCTTGTATTTCAGAGAGAACCCTTCTACATATGGCAATGAAAAACTACAGTGCCATCAGTGAGTTTACTCTCCTTGGACTTTCTGCTGACCCCTGCATTCAGGCTATGCTCTTTGTGTTGTTCCTTCTGATTTACCTCCTCACTCTGATGGGGAATTTCTTGATGCTGCTGGTGATCACAGCTGATTCTCAACTCCACACACCCATGTACTTCTTCTTGAGACAACTCTCCTTCCTAGACCTGTGCCACTCATCTGTCACAGCTCCAAAGATGCTGGAGAATCTACTTTCTGAAAGGAAAACCATCTTTGTAGAGAGCTGTTTGGCTCAGGCCTTCTTTGTATTTGCCACTGGCGGCACTGAGGCCTGTCTGCTGGCTGTGATGGCCTATGATCGTTATGTTGCCATCAGCTCCCCTCTGCTCTATGGCCAGGTGATGAGTAACCAGCTCTGTGTTGGGCTGGTGTGGGTCTCGTGGGTCCTGGCCTTTGTTGATGCTCTCATCAATATCCTCCTGGCAGTCAGTTTAGACTTCTGTGAGAACCAGACTATACCCCACTTTAGCTGTGAGCTGTCTTCTCTCTTCCCTCTGTCTTGCTCTGATACCTCTATCAACTTCACATTACTGCTTTGCTCCTCTGCCTTGCATTTCTTTGGAACGCTTGTTATGATTGTTTCTTCTTATGCCTGCATTGTCCCCACCATCCTGAGGGTCAACTCCATGACAGGCAGAAGCAAGGCCTTCTCCACCTGCTTGTCCCACCTCACAACTGTGATCTTGTTCTATGGCTCAGGTTTCATCAGCTACCTCTTACCAGATTCAGGTTCCCCTCTGGAAATGGCCTTTTCTCTGCAATACAGTATGATCACTCCCATGCTGAATCCCCTCATCTACAGCCTGAAGAACAAGGAGGTGAAAGCAGCTATGGGAAGAATGGTCAGAAAATATTTTCATCTGCTTATATAACAGATACAAAATCATGATGATCAGACTCTGAGCTGTTTTGCTACATTATCAGATAATGGAATTTGAGTGTTCTTGATTGTGTTGGGAGATTCCACTGGAACATGATAGCTTTTCCTTTTTTGGAAATGCTAGTGAAGAAGACGGAAAACTCAGGATGATCAGTCTTAATCAGTGAAGGAGAAATAAATCAGTTAACTTTCTTTTCCAGGTAATCATTTATAAAAATATTGAATTATTTTTCATATCTATGTGAACATTTATTGCTATTGGCTGATAATTACTCCTTCACACTGTTTCTAATGGTTATACACTAAATCATAGGATAACTGATTCTCTCATATTCATATGGCAATCAAGGGGGGGTGATTTTTGTAGTCCAGGATAAGTTCACTGTTCCATCCCTCTCTCTTGACAATGTATTGTCACAAGGAGTGAAATCAAGACTTGAATGAGGTTATTCAGAATATTCTGTAGGAAATTCAAATATTAACCAGAAATAAAAAAGAAAGCAATTGTTTGGAACAGAGTCAATCAGACTGTAGTGCCTAAAAAAACTACGAACTCTTGGCAATTGTCCTTCACTGCATCATCTTTTATAAGAAAAAAAATAATTATAGCAAATTTGTTGCATTTCTTTACTTGTGCCAATAAGTATACTAGTTCCTGTGGCAGAAAGATGCTACCTTCGAATCTATGGAAACTGTCAATATGCTATGTTACGTGGCAAATGTAACATAGGTTTATTATTTGTTACTGAGCTAGTCTGTGGACTTGAATGAAAACAAGGAACAATAGTGGCTCAGGGAGTCTTGGTACATCATGCCAAAGTGAGTGTGACCTGGACAGGAGAGATGGGCCTGGAAAGGAGAGCATCTAATGTGGATCCACTGAGCAGTTTAACTAGCAGGGAGCCAGGCAGTGAAGGAAACAATGATCAATATCTGTACCATCTCAGACGAGGAGTGAGTGTGATAACCTGAAATAAAGCATCAAGTTCATGGCAGGCAAAGTTCTTGGTCTTTGGGAGGTGCTTCCTAACTGCATGTGTTTGCTGCCAGAGACTGAGAGAATGCCCAGGTCCTGAGAACCATGTGATTTCCCCAGATTCTTCCCTCCCAAAGGGTGGTGAATTCCTGGGTGGAGCTGCAAGCACTTATAATGGCCTTGGGTAGCTGTATTCCAGATGCATGTGTTTGATGCAAGATGAGATTGAGTGTTCAGAGCCTAGAACTCATGAATCGCATAAACACCCTCTTGGCTTATTACTTCCCACAGGTTGGTGATCTGCTGGGCAGTGTCTGAAAGCACTGACCTGGCCACTAGAGTATCTGAATCCCTCAGTTCTCCTCCAAGAGGCAGAACTCAGTGCTCTGCTTGCTCCCTACACTTCTCTGATGCATTTTGGGAGCACACTGAGGGGATGCTTGCTACCCTTAAAAGCACAAACTGGGGAGGTGGGTAGAGCAAGTGGGAACCTGCCCATCCCACAACCTAGAAAGCTCCTTGCAGTCAGCAGTGGCTTCTGCTACCCAAAGAAGGGAAGCTTCTAAAGTGAAAGCAGCTCAGAATAGACAACTGATCCTTGACACCCCTCCCTCAGCATGCATATAGCAACAACCTCTACATAATGAGCAACAAGAGACTTCAGCCAGTTTTCTTCTATCTGTGTGGTGCCTGGAGTCAGGCCCTGAGTTGTGGGTGAATGTTTGGATACTGAGGTATACCCACAGTCCAATGGAAAGAATTGCAACTCGATGGTTCCACTACACATTCTGGCATGAAAATTGAGGATATTTAACTGAAAAACTACAGGTTATTAAACTACCAATTAAACAATCAATGACATGGCCTCATATGAACAAATCCTCCTATAGAAAAATAAGACATATGAAAAAAGAAGGCAATATGAGTCTTACAAAAGTAAAGCTCCACAATTTTATAGTAATGATAATGAAGTGGATGATAGCAAAAGAATTATAAAAGAGTGATTTTAAGAATGATCAATGAAATTAAAGAGGACACAAATTAATGCCTACATGAATTCCAACAGAGTACAAACAATAAAGAAGACAATGCAGAGTATGAAACAGGAATTTCCTGAATATACAGAAATCCTAAAAAAAGTAAATTGAAATTGTGGAAATGGAAAGCTCAGTCAGTAAAATAAAAAACTCACTTGAAAGCCTCATTAATATACTGGATCATGTTGAAGACCTTGATAAGGTCTTAAAGACAAAGTAGATGATCTAGGACATTCAGATAATGAAAAAAATAAGAAAGTACAAATAGATCATGAGTGACCTCCAGGACACCATTAAAAGATCAAAGTTCCAAATAATGAGCATAGAAAAATGAGAAGAGATGTAAGCTAAGAATAATAGAATATTAATAATAGATTATTGCTCCAATCTTGAGAAAGTTAGTTATTAGGCACAGTAGGCTTTTAGGCTTTTAGGACAACAAAAGGACAAGACCAAAAAGAACCTCTCCATGGCATATTTTAGTTAAAACATTAAGAATACAGAGCATGGAAAGCTGCAAAAGAGAAGCATTAAGCCACATAAATCCATGAGAATGATAGCAGATTTCTCAACAGAAACTCTAAAAGTCAGGAAAGCAGGAATGATGCATTTAAAGCTGTAAAGGAAAATAACTGCCAGTCTACATTACTGTATCCAGCAAAACTCTCCTTTATAGTTGAAGGATAAATAAGTACCTACCATGTTTTAAAAAAAAACAACTAAAAGAATTCATGGACACTAAGATAGCACTACAGAAGATACTTAAAGTAATATTATACAGAGAAGAGAAAGATAAACACAACCAAGAAAATATGGGGAAGAATAAATCTCATTTGACAGATAGATAAGCAAATGACAGGAATTACTACATACCTTTCAATAATAACTTTGAATGTTACTGGTCTCAGTTATCTAAGCAAAAGACCCAGACTGGTGGTTTAGATTAAAAAGCAAAACCAAAACATCTGTCACCTTTAGGAAATCACACCTTACTAACAAAGAAAACACAGGCTTAAAATGAAAAGATAGGAATAGATATACCAAGAAAATGGAGCTCACAATCAAGCAGATTTCAAATAAAAATTAGAAGAGATAAAAACGATCACTTCATATTGATAAAAGTAACAATCCATTAAGAGACTATTAAAAACAACAACAACAAGATAGCATCTGATGCCTTCAATGCAAAGGAACTAATGCACAAACTTTAAAGCAACAGAAGCCAATAGGAGAAGGAGACCAGGAACTAGAGAAAAGGTTAGTTCAAGAAGAATTAATTTATAATGTAACACATATGTACAGGAAAGCAATGTGAGTAAACTCCCTGTATAGCTATCCTTATCTCAACTAGCAAAAACCCTTGGTCTTTCCTATTATTGCATATACTCTCTCTTCAACAAAATAGAGATAAAGGGCAAAATAGTTTCTGCCTGGTAGCGAGGGGGCTGGGGGGAGAAGGAGGGAGCTGGGGAAAGGGCAGGGGTGGGGAGAAGGGAGGAGAAATGACCCAAACATTGTATGCACATATGAATAAAAGAAATAAGAAAATTGTAAACATACACACTAAATATCAGCACACTCAATTTAATACAATAAACACCACTGAACATAAATAGATAGACACAAATACAATAATAGAGGGTGACTTTAATACTTCAATTCTCACTAGTTGATAGGTCACCAGACAAGCAAATCAGTAAGAAACACTAGATCAAAGGCTTAAGAAGTCACATTCTTCTCAGTAGCCCATGGATCTTTCTCCAAAACAGACCATATTTTAGGATACAAAGCAAGTCTTAATAAACACATGAAATTGAAATATCTCCCTGTATCTTATCAGACCAAATGGAATAAAACTGTAAATGAACAGCAAGATAAACTACAGAAAATATTCAAACACATGGAGACTGAATAGTACAGTTTTGAATGCTCATGAGTTAATGAAGAAATAGGGGGAGAAAGTAAAAATTCCTAGGATCAACTAAAAATGAAAATTCAACTAACCAGAACCTTTGGGACATGCCAAACAAAGTGCTAAGATCAAAGTTTATAAATATGAATGCCACAATAAAAAACAGTGAGATCTCAAATAAATAACCTAATGGTACATCTCAAACTCCTAGAAAAACAAGAAGCCAACCCAAAAATCAGTAGATGGAAAGAAGCAATAAAGATCAGGGCAGAAGTTAAGGAAATGGAAACTAAAAGGACAGTAGAAAGAATTAATGAAGAGCTGGTTCTTTGAGAAAATAAAGAATATTGATCAACCCTTAGTCAAACTAACCAAAAGAAGAGGGAGAAGACTGAAACCAATAAAAATTAGAGATGAAAAAGTACATATCACAACAAATACCAATCAATCCCAAAGTTCATTAGGAAATATTTTGAACACTTAGATTCTAATAACCTAAAATTTTGAAATAATGAATAATTTTAGATGCATATGACTTACGTAAATTGACCAAGAGCATAAACTATTTAAACATATCTATGACAAGAAGAGGTTCAAGTAGTAACAGCATGTCCCTCAACAGAAAGGCCCAGAGAGGGTCAGAGTCACTGATGACTTCTGCAGGCCTTTAAAGAAGAACTAATACCAATGCTTCTCAAACCATTCAATAATAGAAAGGGAGTACTAGCAACATATCCTACAAAGCCAATATTACGCTGATACCAAAACTGGATAAAGTCACAACAAAAGAAGAAAATTGTAGACCAACTTCCTTGATGAACGTAGACACAAAAAATCTCAATAAAATGCTTTCAAGTTGAATTCAACAACACAATTATAAGATCATACACCTTGATTGAGTTAGTTTTATTTTAGGCAGGCAATGATGGTTCAACATACAGAAGTCAATAACCATACTATAGCACAGAACAGAGGACAAAAATCATATAATCATCACAATAGATGCAGAAAAAAACTCTTTGGAAAAATTCAACATTCCTTCCTGATAAATGCCCTAAAAGAATGTA